TATCATCTCTAAATTAAGTAATATTATTTTACCAAAAATGATATGTTCATTCACTAAGTAATATGATTCCTATTGTTTAAGTAATTCTATGGATACTTAGATAATCATTTTATATTAAGTAAATGAATTCCTTAACCTTCATCACCTGCGTACGGAGTATATATATCTCAGTTGATTCGATACGCAAGAGCATGCTCTACGTATGAACAATTTCTAAAATGAGGTAAATTATTGACAAGCAAGTTGACGAAACAAGAATATCAGCAGTCTCGTTTAAAGTCATCAATTCGTAAGTTCTATGGTCGATACAATGTCCTTGTCAGCAAATATAGTTTATCACTGAGTCAAATGCTGACTGACGTTTTTCATACCAATCGTTAGTCAATTATTTATACACTGAATTGACGACGGATTTTTTCCGTTATTTCCTGATCATGACAACGAGCATACGGCGGGTGTGACCGGTCGGCAGGGAATTCTCACTCCTCCATGGCACCTGATCCCATCTCTTATGTTTTGGGGGTCCGTGTTTGCTCTGCTCTTATTTTGTATTGTTTTATGGACTTTGAGATTGTATACTGTTCGTTATCTCCATATCCTTCTTCATCTTTATTACTAATTATGTTTACAATCACTAACCATGATAGTCATTTACCTGCTATTCTGACTAAATGGATTACTAATCATGTATAGTTCTTCTTAATCTATTATCTTATTTTAAAAACTTTTAAGAGTGTTGGATTATGTGCAAAACTGGAACAGACCATTATCAGTAGATTATCCAATGTTTCATATTATCGATTTCCATGGCACACCCATCAAAGTAGACAAAAATTCCCTATATTTCCATTTCATCGTGAAATATTGTAAATTCAAATTTCAAAAATGTTGTTTCATAGATTTAAACAAGCCAAATCAAAAAATTTGGTCTCCTGCTTTCGGTGGCTTTGTGGGTAAGATGTCACCTTTTATGTCATATTGTGTTATAAATGAACGCCTTTTCATATATCAATCAGACGTTTTCACCATATTTAATTTTTCTTGAAAGTTAGGTCAATTGTGACGGTCAGGACAAGCGCTCAGAAATTAGAGCGTACTCAGAAATATCTTGTCACTGGATATGCACATGTCAAACATGAAAGCCTTATCTTTTTTCTGGAAACTGGTCAAACTTCAAGGTCACTAGATCAAAACTCAAAGTGTATTTAGAAAGGTCATAACAACAGTAATACACATAGTCTCTTGTTTTAGTAGATCAGGGACAAGGTAACAGGATCAATACATAATGTATTTAGAAAAGACTCACCACAGGTAATAAAAATATTAATATGAAAACCCTATGATTCAAACGGGATAAGGGTTAAAGTTTTTAAAAAGTAGGTCAAACTTCAAATTCAACGTCACGACGTCAAAATAATACTTTATTTAGAAAGGTCGTGCCACAGGTAATACACATGTTTCATATGAAATTCCATTTCTTTTCGTTCAAAAGTTATGGCCAATTCGATGTACATAATATTTATTGTTTTAAGTAGTCAAACTTCAAAGTAAATATCACAGGGTCAAAGATCATAATGTATTTAGACAAGTCTTGTCACAGGTAATATACATGTGTAATATGAAAGACATATCTCTTCTCATTTAAAAGTTATGACCAACTTAAAGTTTTTGTGACGGACTGACAGATTGAGAGACCGACCGTCGAATGAGATTGAATGTCCCCTCGCTTTTGCAAATGCGGAGTACAATAACACAAGACCTCATCTGTCAATCTGGAAAACATGTGATCTGAGGTATAATGTGACTGCCCAGTTCAATTCGAATTAATGCCCTGTTCACACGGAGAGTTTAATTCGCAGTAAATTAATGCAAATGAAAATAATACGAATTAAATTGCGTTCACACGACAGAATTAAAATTTTACATCTACAGTCAGGCGTCAGTTTGGCTATTACGACGTCATTGCTAATCACGTCACCTTATGCAGAAGCAGATTCATTTGACCATATGTTACTGTGTCTGTACACACATTTAAGGAATATTTTCATGTTTTGTGTGAGTTATTGGTGTGTGAATCACACATATTTGTCACGTAGGCATATTTCATGAAGCGCGCTAGCAGTTGATGACTACTTGTTCATGGTGGAAGAGAGCAGTGGATATGCAAGTTATGAAAATGGTATTTAAATCAATTTCACAGTTGGCTTAGTTTAAAAACATAACGAATGTAAATATTTTGTAATACACACAATTTTCCTAGTTTTCACTCAAAAATAGCACACATACCACCGACATGTGGCATTTCACTTATTTTTCCAATTATGCATGTCCAAAATTTAATTAAGGTCTTCCGTTGGAAACTACTGATTCTGTTGGTAAAAATTATTCTTTTTTTTTTTTACTTCCTAGACTCCAACTTTAAAGCCTCATATCTCACTCATTTCTCAATAAATTTCGCTCAAATTTTCAGAGGTACTAGAAGTTACTAAACTATCAGAATGCTGTCGAAAATTTCAAAAAGTCACTTCCGGTTTTGAGTTATTTCCCTTTAAACGAAAATTTATAGGTTTTCGTTTCCAGACAAAGGCTCAGAGACGGCTAAAGCTGGAGCAGAAATTCTAGTGATTTTAGATAATAGAAGGATTAAAGTAGTGCACATCAGTTTTTGTTTTTCGATTTCTCTATTCAAAATGGCGCTATATAGGGGTCAAAAATTAGAACGCTTAAGAGAGCCAAAAATTACTCATATTTTGCTTTTTATCTGCTAAACTAAAAATATTTTGTTTAAATAATTTGTGCAGAATTAGAAGATGTTTCAAATGATATCTCGGAAAAAGGGCTGACCCCTAAATTTAGGGATCTAGAGGGGCCATAAGTTTTTTCCAGATATCTCAAAAAGTATTGAGAATTTGTTATACATTAATGAAGCAAAGTTGTTGAAAATCTCTGGTAAAATCTACTATGTCATCAAAATATGTCCTGTGACGTCACTTCCGGCCAAACCGGAAGTTGTTCGAAACTGCATATTTTTGCCGTTTTTGACATGTTTTGGGGAAATATTTGGGGAAATATTTGTCACTGGAAGCATGAAACTTAATTTTCCGTCCGTCGACGTCACTTCCGGTCAGACAGGAAGTAGCAAAAAATGGCTTACTTTTGGTTTTTTTTTCAACATAGCTTTGGAAGATTTAAATCATTAGAGACGTCATTTCTCTCTCTCTCTCTTTTATTTAAATAAAAGTTACTTCCGGTCAAACAGGACGGAAAACCTACTCGTTGCTTTGCAACGAGCTTTTCTCTAGTTTAAATTAGCTTCTCTTAGCGTTCACACGGAGCTAATGTGAATAATTTAATGTGCAGAAAATTAATTCAAATGAAACTAATTCGCATTTAACTCTCCGTCAATTTTAATTCTCAGTAACTTAAGTTTAATTCGAAATAAGCGAAGGAATTGATCCTTACGTCGCGGGTTCGAATCCCAACGTGGGACGTGGAGACCGGTGCTTCGGATGAGACCCTATAAACCGAGGTCTTGTGTCGCAGTATTTGCTGGCACGGAAGAGATCCCTCCCTGCTTTGGCCCTAATTGCCGAGTATCTGACAAAATTTACAGCTCTCCACCGGCAAGTAGTGGCGTTTCCATATGAGTGAAAAATTCTCGACAATGGTTGCATAAATTTCACAAATTTCAGTGATTTTTTTTTTTAAGATTCTTATCAAGTTTTACAGTCGCTAAAATTAAGAGTTTATTTCCTCTCTAGTTTTCTGATTCTTTATCATTCATTCTTAATGCAATGTCTCGAATAGCTTCTCACAATGAAAATATGAGATGAAAATTGGTCCTATAAACTGATATCAATTCATAAAAGATTCACTCATGAGAGAAAGTCAAGCTAAGTGTCATATGATATATGTGTTTTATGTCATAGAGTTCAGCACATTATTTATTGAACAACCCTCATAACCAGTGCCAGATGTTATCATCTCATAATCATCTGTATTTATTTCTTTTACACTTCTTCACTTGTATTTGACCTATGTTACAACGCACTTTGAAAAATTACGCACTTTGAAAAAAATTTTCAAAGTGCGTTAAATTTTGGAACCAAGTCAACGCACTTTGAAAAAAATAAAATTTCTTTTCAAAGTGCGTTAATATGGACCATGTTAACGCACTTTGAAAAACTGTGTATGGATTTGTCAATATTCCTGCAAATCTTAGGTATGATAAATAATTGAACCTGTTTGATAATTCTTCTGTGAAGAGGTCACATCAGGATATGAAAGTGAGCGATTTTGATTGTTCCATACTTAGAAAATTCTTTCTCGCTTAAATGCTTTACTGTACTAATTTTTTTTCAAGTTTGCATGCATTTTATGTAAACTTAAATTTATTGAAAGTTTTCAACGTCATACCAGTTATTAAACACATATATTTGGGTGTAGCATAGGCAACAGTACCGGAAAGGGGGCTTACATGTAGGCACATAAATATTTTGCAAAGATATACATAATATATACATGTATGCATTAAAAATTGGGGCTTACCTGTGGGGTCAACTTTCAATTTGCTACCGACGGCTATGTACAATGTTTAAGAAAAAAAGAGGGGATGAGAGACCTTCTACTCGTCTTCTCCTTGTTCTCAATGAGGTTAAATGAGTTCATGTAAATTTAAAAAAGTTTTTCGAAAGATATAATTATTACAATTTGATTTCCTCTATTACTAAAATCTAAGTCTAGAATTTTTATTTTCATTCATATCTTTTTTTCAAAGTGCGTTAAATGCCTCCATGGTAAAAAATTATTATGTGCATTCTTAACGCACTTTGAAAATTTTTTTTTCAAAGTGCGTTGAGTGTGTCCAAAATTTAACGCACTTTGAAAAATTTTACGCACTTTGAAAAATTTTTTCAAAGTGCGTAATTTTTTCAAAGTGCGTTGCCACAGACCTATGTGTTCATGTAAATGTTTGCAATAGTGTAACGTGAATATCTTACTTTCAATATTGAGCACGAATTCTGGACTTCGATAAAGCAGATTACCAGAACTTCTACAACTCCAAATACTGTTTTGCTCATATTCAGTCATGTTTTCCGCAGGTATAGTTAAAGTAAAGGTCGATTCGGACAAACATTCAATGATGTATCTCGGATCTCTACCAAAGGTATAACACTTGGAACCAATAACTGCGGCTAAAACAGAACTGTAGCTGTTTCTGTAAAAGAACACATCAGCAGATCTTTCCGCAGGAGGTACAAAAGCTTCACATGTCCAATTAAACTCTTCTCCAAGAACTGGAATCTTCGGAGATCCTGTCAGGTTAAACTGCTGACCTAAAACAAGAAAAAAGAAGTTAATTGATGCAAAGCATCAAATCGGCCGCTAACATATTTAACATGTCAAAAAAGTACTTTAACAATTCAAAGCATTCATGCAAGAAAAGAACAGGATATTCAAAGCTGAAAAAGTGATCATTTTTATTTCAGGCCCTCTTCAAAGCAAAGTAAAAAGATAAATACTTTTAAAAATTTGATAGAAATTTTAGCATCATGCCTGCTGTTCAATCCAGTTCAATGAATAAAATATATTTTAAACTATAGAAATTTTAGTGCATTTGCTCATCCAATAGATTTATCGATGTAAAAAAGACTATGATGAATATGCATGGGCGTCGGAAGCTAATCGAAATTGGGGTGGGGTGGGCTAATTGAAAGGGGGGGGGGGGCTGAACCAACAAAAAATGGTAAAGCCCTTTTTCAGTGCCTATATAATGTATATAGGCTATTTGCAAAAAAAAAAGTGGGGAGAGCTACCCCCCCCCCCCCCGGTTCCCACGCCTATGATATGAGAAATTATTGGCATCAAAATAAAGATGTATGCCTTTCAAGATATACCACATGCAGATACCCTGGTTATTTGTAACGTGATTATGCCTATATGGTTTCACTTTCTGCAGATTAGGCTATATGCTGCATGGTGCGGTGCAAAATGTATAAAAATAATCTTTGTTTCATTCGCAGCTGCAATCTCCTACGCAGAGTTGTCGTTCGTTCCTCTCTCAGACATGTATGAGCCGATGGTAGAGAGTGTCGCAGCTGTAGGATTTTCAAACAAGTTTTTACTAGTATAGCAACTTTTCAATTTTTTATTCACCATGCACTTTGACCTCGTGCACGTCATTATTATCCGGAAAATCATAACGATTTCCTTTCGTATCTTACACACTACATTGATATGGAGTACCTATTGTAAGTTATAGTTAAAGTACATTTTATCGAGTGTATCATGGATAATCAAGGGGGCGGTGACGAGTTTGCGAAGCAAACGAGTCTCCGCCCCCTTGATTATCCATGATTCACGAGATAAAATGTAATTTAACTGACTTGTATCAATGAATCAATCAGAAAGCTCGAAATATTAGGGCGAACATTTTCCATGAAACAGCATGAGAATTTATTCCGGAAAATAACCCGCGAAAATATCGGGGGTTTTCGTTATAGAGGCGCGAAAGTATCGGCAGTATTCGATAGATTTCGTTATCATTTCCCGCGCAGCAACCGGCATATTATTGGTTCTATGGACTCTCGGGACATTCCATAGTCATTTCCCGCTAATTCTTCGTGATATTATGCGCATTTAGTCATTTACGTAGATTAAGCTGAGGACGATGGACGTATTAGGCCTAGACGATTTGCATTTGTCGACTATTGACCTGGGCGATTTAGGAGATTTAGACTTTTTTAAAATGTGTGGAGTTACCGACGAAGATATCGAACTCTCGCAGGTATGTGATGAAATTGAATAAGAAAATGCCATATCCGAGGGTCTATGTGAAGTGCTGAATTTAAATCGTGTCGAAAATATGGACTGTGAAATTGGTACCGATTTTGGGTCTTTCAACCTAGATACTGTGGACCCAGTAGCTGATATTTCCGATGCAAAGCCTCGACCAGTAAAATCGGAACCTTGTGATGATAACGGTGAACGGTTCGGAAAACCGGTGACAGATGATGAAATTTCAAAATTGATTGCGTCGAACGAGAATGCTAACACAGGGGCGTAGTATCCGGGGGGGCCAGGGGGGGCCTGCCCCCCCCCCCACTTTTTTTCCCAACCTTACTTACACTATAGGAAATGTTAATTGAAAGCCTGGTTGGCCCACCCACTTTTAGAAATGTACCAAAAATGGAGTATAAGAATTGGTACCATAAGAAGTTGACACTGAGAAAAAGTTTACCTACCCCCCCCCCCCCCCCCTTGAAATAGGATTTTCGACTTTGGGCAACTTTTACCTTTTTTTTTTTTTTTTTTTTTTTTGGCTTGTCAACTTTTTCAGGTAAGTAAAAAAAAATTTTTCCCTGGCTGCCCCCCCCCCCCACTTTCATAAACGAGGCTGTAACACCAAGAAAAATACCACCTGGGCGCTCAAGGTTTTCGAGGAATGGCGAGAAAAACGTAAAGGTAATTCCGTTGGTAAAATACCACTCTTGCATTTAATGACGGCAGAGCAGTTGAATTTCTACTTGGGGCGCCCTATTGTGGAAACTCGGAGAAAAGATGGCATTGAATACCCTCCCCGATCTCTGTACCTTATATCGTGTGGGATATTGCGCCACCTCAGAAATAAAAACGTTTTCGACAAAAACATTGTGGACAATAATGACCCAAGATTTAGTGAATTCCGGAAAATTCTTGACAGCAAAATGAAAGACCTTCTGAAGCGCGGGTTTGGAACGGCGATTAAGCAAGCTGAGCCCATTATGCCACAGGATGAGGAAAGCATGTGGGAGGAAGGTGTATTTGGGGATGGAAGTTCCGAAAATCTTAAACATACCATGTTTTTCTATAACTGTAAACTCTTTGGTTTAAGGGGGCATGACGAGCATCACGAACTTGAGTGTAGTCGGTTTGTTCTTGGGGAGGACAGCTCTGGAAAATACGTGGAATTCATTGGACGTGCCAGCAAGACTAACAGGGGTGGGTTGGCCCAAATGCAGCTGACAAACAAGCAGATCGATTCGACATTATAGTCCACCTGGTAAGATACGATTTCAGAATTTAATGACTGCATGACTAATTACGTAACGACTCGGAAATATTGATGAATAACATATCCCATATGCACCTCATCTTATTTATTACTATTTATATTAATCATTCAATTTAGGTGAACGTTGCATCGTCGACTTTTACAAGACTTATTTGGCTGGCCTTGGTAACGAGGGACCATGCATTTTATCGACGTTTGTTGCAGGGACATCCGCCGAAATACGGGAACCAGGTTGTAGGTGTAAACAAGCTCAAGACCATGATGAAAACGATCTGCGCAAAAACTGGACTGTCTGGACAATACAGTAACCATTCTGGAAAACGCACGTGTGGCACTCAATTATATATGGCAGGGGTGGACGAGCAAGAAATAATGAGGAGAACAGGTTCTTGATATGAGAAAGCAGTCCGTAAATATAAAAAACCTTGTGACGAAATTTCCAGAAAGGTGTCTGAAGTACTCGATCCCGGAGTGCCACAGTCGCGAGAGAAAAGAAAGCGCGAGGAGTCCGATATAGAAAGTGAAAATGAAGGCCATCTAAAGAAAACAGAAGTACTCGATTCTGGAGTGCCACAGTCGCGAGAGAAAAGAAAGCGCGAGGAGTCCGATATAGAAAGTGAAAATGAAGGCCATCTAAAGAAAACAGAAGTACTCGATTCTGGAGTGCCACAGTCGCGAGAGAAAAGAAAGCGCGAGGAGTCCGATATAGAAAGTGAAAATGAAGGCCATCTAAAGAAACCCCCCCCCCCCCCCCCCCACCGAGTTTTTGGTTCCGATATAACAAATGGACAACACTTTCATAATTGTAATATTTCTTTCAATTTTTAAGAATTGAGACTTGCTAAAAAAAAAAGCATGACTGTAAATGTCAAGTTTTTGGGTTAAAAAGTTCGGTTTACTGATTAATGTTACAAGAAGTAATTAAAAATGTTATTAAAATTGTTTTCCCATTTTCAAAAGGAGGTGGGGCTTCCTAAGACTTGGTAAGAAGTTAATGTACAGTTTTCTGTACAATAACTTCCTGATATTGGAAGTTATTGTATGTTTGGAAGCTCCACCCCCTTGGTGTATCAAGATTTAATGAGCTGCTGCCAGGAAAGGAAAATACACAGGTTCGTGATACAAGTTATATTTACAGTTCTTTCTTTCGTTTGTAAGGAATTTATTGTACAGAGAGGCGTGGCAGTCGAGTCGCGCAGCGACGAGACAGCCACGCCTCTCTGTACAATAAATTCCTTACAAACGAAAGAAAGTGTCTGTAATTGTGTTGTGTCATGGTCATTTGCATAGCCACTCCCTCGACATCAAACTGCTCGCGACTTTACGTCACAGGCCTAGGTCCATCTTAGACGGTTCAAACAAATCAGAAAGTACGAAGGAGATGGGTGCATTGGAAAGTCATGCGATGTTTAAAGAGTGTGCAATTGTATTTGATGGATTACTTTAAGTAGTATGTCAGAATATTTAAAAAAAAAAACATGAGGTACTGGAAACCTTGATCTGTCCTCAAAATGATCCGCTTCATTACTGTTACTACGGATATAGTTGCATGTCCGGAGGAAATCCGAATGGAGTACTGTAGCCAGTAGCCACAGGTGTCAAAATTATGGAATGCATTGTGAAAAAGTCCGAATGCATACTTGTATATTATACGAACATGTACCAGTGTGCATGTAACTCAAGGAACCCAGGAAACAGGTACTTTTAAGAAAATCATCAAACTCCGCGTGTTTTCAATATTGTCAGATTTAAATTATCTTGTTTTCATTTGAATATACGTGTTTTTAGTGATATTCTGTATATTGTTTTTATTATTTGTTTAAAGCTTTTTACTAATGAGTTTACATGAACATGCATTTCTCTCGAAAATGGTTTTCACGTAATTCAGGGATGGAGTCGATTACATTAAAAAGAAATCAATCAAATTACAATTACTTTGACTTTCTCTTCAGGCTTTATAAATCATGTAATTAATTGCTTTATAATTACTTTACAAAAACTGTAATTAACTAATAACAGTCAAGTACAATTACTTTTTTGTTCAATTACCCCATCCCTGTCACGTATGCATTTATAGAGTGTAGGGGGGGGGGGGGGGTGTGTAGATTCTGTGAGATTTCTCATGTTTCCTCTAGATATTTTGTATAAGCTTACAGAAATTGAAAAAAATATATTTAAAACCATCGAATTCTGTCGGAAGTTATTGTACGGTAAATTGGAAGTTATTGTACGGCGAAGCTCCGCCCCCTAGAAGTTATAGTACGTTGGAATTCAGCCAAAGGTTTTCTATCTGATTTAAAGTATGGCCAACATCAAAAGAAAAAGTACCGCACCATGACACAAACTCTTTTTATTTAACCATAAATTATCAATATCTGATGCCAAATGATAATGAAATTGAAACAAAATAACAATGATTAAAACTTAATTTAAAGCAAGTTTTTAAAATATTTTCTCATGATTTGATACATGTTATCATTTGAGAATTTTTTTACTGAACTAATAAAATAATAACATCTCATTTCCCCAAACTGTGCACTTTTTAACACAACCACAAATAGATTGGCCGCTGCTGCGGCCGATAACAAGAATAATATTCTAAGTACCGGTCAAATTTTAAAACCAATATTAAATGTTCCTGTCATTTTGTTTTATTTGTATAATTCTACTATACTATGGAAAATGTCCAAAAAATATTCAATGAATCAATTGTGCATTTTTTTATTTTATAAAAAATATACATACGGTAAATCTACATGTTTATATGGAATATTATCTGAGCTAAAATATGAAAAGGGATTACGTGAAAATATACATCATGGCGTAATTCTTAATTCATGTGATTTATGTTCAAATTTAAATTCTCACCAATTTTGAACATGTAAAACATTGCATTTCTAGGGTTTAATTGACTTATTTTTTTGTTTGTTTTCTAAATGTAAGGTCGAAATATAAATGGATTATTGTTAAAAATTCTTGATATCTTAACTTTGAAATGTGCATGATTGTGTTATTTACAAAAAACCAAATCTTTAAATAAAATAATTAATATAAAGTTGTTTTTTTTTAATTTTGATTATCTGATGTAACTGTTCTTAAATAAATGCATCAAATTAAAATAGACTAAAATAAATAAATTAAATATTTTATTCACTTTAAAACAGACTATAGCCTACCTATAATTAATTTCTTTTGTTCTCCACCTACACCCCATTCCCACTTAGCCAACACAGATTTACCTGTGTTTTACCTGTATTTTTTCAAAATATTGGCTAAGTGGGAAGACACAGGAAGCACCGTCTTTTCTTATGGTTTTTCACTGTCCATTTTTATTCACAACACAATTTAGATATTCATATTTTACATTTAAGAAATAACTGAAGCTTACATGTACAAACAATGATTGATCTTAAAACCTATTTTATTGTAAATAAAAACATTTTTGGCAGCAAATTTTGTAATGAGATACTGTTGTTATAATTATATACTCATCATTGATAACCTAAATGATTAAGATCTTTAAATTAGCCACCAGACATGTAGGTGGGGGGTATCATTTATTATTGGCATCTGGTGAATAATTACACGTCAACAGATGGAATTTGCAACCTGGCATGGCAGGGACACTGTGTATGCAATAGCCATCGTGATTAATACAATTAACTAATTATCCAATCAGATTGAAGTAACCTATACTGAAATCTTATCTTGGTCAAAGGTATCTCAATTATTCACTTTTTTGTTTTAAGAGCTGCTGGACGCACCTAAAATTTTACAAGAATTCAATTTACCCGATGCCAGTTTATCTTCAATTCTTACGGATTATTTAGAATCATCTCAGAAGGTATAGGCCACCCATATCATTTCTCTATCCGTCTGTTTTATACATTTTCAGTAATTTATAAATCATGGTTCATCGGGTTCTAGTTATTGGTCACTCATTTGTACATAGGTTAGAATCATTTCTTTTCAAAGAAAGAGCATTGGGTTGGTATAATATGGGATTTGATGGAACTGAGATACAGGTTGAATTTGCCAGTTTGAGTGGCGGAACTTTGAGGCCAGGGCCGAAATGCATCCAGTCACGAAAATTCATGGATCACTCCTTTCAACCGCACTCAGTTTTTATTCAAATTGGCGGAAATGATCTAACGCACGAAGATCAACCAGAGCGGTTGGCTCGTGACATTAGATCAACAAAACAAAACAAAACAAAAAACAAACCAAAATAAAAAAAACAAAAAAACAAAACAACACACTCTCTAAAAAAAAAAAACAGAACCAAAAACATTAAAACAAAAAATTAGTAACTGGAAAGTAATAATGAATGAATACTGAATTTCAAAATTAATTATTAAACATAGAAGAAAACATTTCAAAACAAACACCTTAATAATTAAAAATTAGATAAATTAACAAATTCATTCATTAGTTAATTTAATT